CCAGTGCTCATTGCTCTGCCTCTAGAAGAAGCAGCAAGCTTTCCTTCAGGAACCTTCCCTCTCCCATCACACACCTCCGTGTGAATGCCAGCCAAGAGGCTGGTGATTTCACAGCTAATGGATGACAGGCACCTGACACCAGCAGCTCAGCCCTCAGTCTCTCTCCTCTGAGGAGATACGTAAGGATAAGAGAATGCCACCAAGGTCCCTAAGCTCTGACAAGTTTCTCTCTCCTAAAACCTGCTTGCCCAGCCCTTTCTTGAATTCTGGAGGCTATCGCCATGGAAACAGGTTCCTGTATGCTTAGTTGGCAGAGGTGGCAACAGAGTCTTTTAGTTGTTACCAAAGAGTCCTAAATCACACTTCTCCTAAATCCCCATAGAGAGCTGGCCCTACTCTGACCACCTTCACCACTTCCTATGTAATTCTGGCAGAACCATCAGTCATTAATACCTCCATCTCTCTCTCACACACGCACATTCCATGCACATCATAATTTATCCTAATGTTAATAATGCAAACATGGTATTATTTTGACCCTATCAATGTAGAAAATGAGACACAGAGAAACTATTCGATGTGTTCAAGGCCACAGAGCAAGTGAATAGCAGAAACAATATTCCAACAGGTCCAATTTCTGCCTTCCATCAGCAAGTAAACCTTACTGGGTCATTTCTCTGCTGCTTCACAGATCCTGGGAGGGTCAAAGATCCTTGGCATTCTGATACAGTGTGTTGGGAGCTTTATCTCCTTCCCTCCCCCTTCCTCTTCACCTCATGCTTTCTTTGCTTCAGCTGTAAGTCACTTATAAGAGACACAGTTTCTGCCAGCACAATGGATTCGTGCATGTACACATATTGAATAGAGTCAAAAGGGTCACGATGACAATAGTTAACCCTTACGAGAGCAATGCATTGCCATTCACAGTCACGCACTTTAAAATCTGCTCATGCCCACCAGATTGATTTCCCAGCTAACTGCTTCACCTGACTCTCAGTCTCAAAACCCCTGATCTACTCAGAAGGCTATTTTAAATGACACTGGTTTGCTTGCCCGGGTGTTTGTAGAAGGAGGTAGGGCCAGGCCTGATTCTTTAGGGCTCCTAATGATTTGTTTACCACAGTTAATGTGGGGTTTCCTAGGCCACGCCAGGCTGAAGGGAAAATTGGGCTCCTACCCATGGCACAGGCTGTTCCTCTCTCCTCTGCTTTCATCCGCCCTTCTAGATCGCCAGCACTCTCCTGGAACCCACTTCAGCCGCTCTGAGCATGGCCAGTTCCTCCAGTGGCTGCGGAGCTTGGGTAACCAAGGGTGGGCTGCTGCTGAAGCAAAGCATCATGGGTGACTCTGGTGGCTCTGAGCCTTGGCCCTGGATAAAGGTGTTATTTGGTTCACATCTCTGCGTCAGCCTGGTACCTCCTCTCTGTGTGGTTGTTCATAGTATAGTTTCCACATACACCAAGGTGGTGTCTCTAACTAGGCCAGACCCCCATCTTGGTTTAGGGATCTCAAAACAGAGTCCTCTTACCCTCTTCAGCTCACACATACTCAAGAGCAGTGGGTTAAGAAGGAACCTTCACCCTCTCTTTTGGAAACCTTCTCTGGACCATGTCTAGGTCAACCCTAGGTGTGGAAGCTCTCACCAGACTGGTAGGGTTGTTTTGTCTTTTGGTTCATTCAGTTCGTTTTGGTTCCCTCGTGTGCTTAAACTCTATAATACCATCAGCACCTGTCATCTTAAGAGAAGTGGCAGCTTCCTAGAGCGACCATAGACATCAATTTACTTCTTATCTATGTGAAAACACTGCTTCCCAAGTACTGGGAGCCACATGATTTGAATGAAGTTGTCTTGTTTCGATGATGAAGAAGAATCTTTCTTAAATACCAGATTCACACCAAGCATTTAGGTATGTGGTCTTTAGTATTCTCAGCAACTCTATGTGCAATGTCCCCATCAACAAGGAAAAAGAAAAACTGTGACTTAAGAAGTTAAGTAGGTCCATGGTCACATTGCTGGCAAGGTACAGAGCCAGACTTGGATTCTTCTCAGTTGATCCTTTGCAGCTCAGACTAGGCTCGGAGCCGGTTTGAACCGGGCCTTCCAGCTCCCCTGGGTCTCCTGCCAACTCTGCTTTCATCTTTTCTAGACCCTTCTCCCAAAGGCCACCAGAGTCCACAGGTAGGTTGCCAACTCTATCTAGGGACCTCTGAGTTGTGGAAACTTCTAGCATCACATCCCCACTTCTTATATCTGTTCTACACTCCCTGGGGGCTTCCCAGGAGAGCAGGCTGGGAGGCATCACCAGCAGCATGGCCTGCTGTCTGACCTCAAGTCTCTCAGGATTTCCCAAGCCCCTCCTCAGATTCCTTTCAAGAGCTTCTTCCCAGAAAGGCTGTCAGCATCCTGCACCGCATGGTTTAAACTGTGCCTGATCTTGGTGGGCGTTTTAACTGAGTAAGGAATTCAAGTCTGGGTTTTAAATGCCATAGAAAAAGAAAAAGTTACTGTCTTTTCAAAATGCCCATTGTAGCTTGTCCTTAGTGTCCTTCCCCCTCTCAGTGGTCCCCTCTCCGTTTGACAAACCGAGCTGAGCAGCTGCAAGTGGATGGTAGGGATATCGTTTCTTACTGTCACGCATCATCCTCCTGGATTTACCACCCCCAACCCCGACACACACACAGACATACACACACACACACACACACACACACACACACACACACACGAAGACTGCTTGGCTGTCTGGGAACCCAATGCCAAGGACTTGTCAATCTTGATAACTGGTTGTATTTGAGAGCCAGTTCTAGGGAGTAATATCCTGTTTGACCACATTGGTTGTTTGAACCGCATATTTACCATTGTTTAATGCCATCCAGGGTAATAGCTCTGTCAATAGGTGTCTGTGTGGGAGCTTAGTACCTCAGTTTCCCCATCAATATGTAATATGATTGGATCCAAGATCTAAGGTCCCTGAAGATGTCCAAGGCCACTATTTTGTGGTTACAAAATTTATTAGAAATCAAGGAACTAAGAGAGCGGCAATTTGAGTAAAATGACTGTATAAAATGTTCACAGTGTAATCACACTACATGTAGGAGATCCCATCCTGCACTTGCTGAAGGATTCAATTTTTAAAAGATTTGACTTGTGGCCAACTTTGAAAGTGACACATTACTGTTTAGCTGAGGCTTGCCCACAGGTCTGAGTTTCTGAGGACAGTCTCTTTCATCCTTTTGCACACAGTCCACAGTGAAGCCATAACACAGTCCATTTTACAGTCAGGACCTCTCTAAGACCGTCTTTTAGAAACATGCGTCAGAAAACAGTTTCTATTTAAAGCTGCATAAGCATCCTATGGCTCTGAGAGCACCCCGGGCTTTGCACATGCTGTTCCCTCCTCCCTCATTCACTGTTTCTTTATGGAAGTGTGCCCTGATGTCTCTGACCAAGGCAAGTCCCTTTATTATAACACTGTGGGGCGATTTGAAGTTTATTAGGTGACTATATGATTACCGGGAATAGACCATGCATTGTCCTACAATCTCCTACAGGCACGCTGGATGCCCACCTTGTACACACTGACTGAATGCTGGCCCTGGTTTTGCAGCAGTTTCTACTTCCATGGAGTTTTTAATCCTCTGGAATCAATGACATCATCATCAACACCATCACCACCACCATCATCACCACCATCATCACCACCAATCCCAGCAATCCAATCAGAGAGTGAGCATGACTAGCATCACCCTCCTCTCACAAAGCCAATAGCGTTAAAGGCACACTTGAGCCCAGAGTCATAACACCTACCTGTGATTCAAGACCATCACCTAGACAGACAGCAAGGCTTTTCTTGTTTAAAGCCAACAAGCAAAAGGAGTTCCTTGAAGTTGGCCTAGGGTCAGCTACCAGGGGGGTGAGGGGGAAGAGAATGGCAATGCACGGACCTCTGACAAGGGTGGCTTTGCTTCATAAAGGTGCAGGCACTTGAACAATCCATTTTATATGTTCAATTTTAAAAAGCGAAAAAAAGGAAGGCCCATGCCTGACTTACCAGAGTGGCTGTACCACCATGAGGGATGGCTGCCATCAGTGTGGCCAAAGGACATTCTTTTCTACTGTCTTAAGGATATTTTCACTCTCATGAACTGGACAACCCCACATTAAGGCCAAATTCTCTTGATTTTTGTCCTAAAACAAACTTCCCTTTCCAAGGGAGTGTCTTCTTTCCTGTGATATATGCCAATAAGAGTCTGTGATTTTTATTTGGTTCCCGCAGTCATGACAAGACCATCTGTCCTATCGTCTCTATTGTCCCCATTTTACAGGCAGGGTAACTCCCTTGTTTGTAAAATCCGCTCTGTTTCCAGATGACCTGGGATCTCAAAGCGGGGTCTCTAGCTTACCCTAGCACTTTTCCACTTAATCGCAGCCTGCTGGGCGAGCCAGGCCCGGTTTCAAAGCCCCAGGAAGCTGGAGTTGGCTGCCTCCTGCTGGCAGGGAGTTCATCCCAGCCTTTTAGGAGGAACTCTGCCAAAGAGGGGAGAGCAAGAAGGGAGGAGACTGGATTATACACAGGGATGGCTTACAATTCTGCCGCCTCCCTCATCGTGGAGGGAGGAGTGGGCTGTGCAAGGTGGTGGGGGGATTATGAAAATCAATAATTCGTAATAGTTGGTAAGTGTCAGGGAAGTGAACGCTTCCCTGTATTCCCCTGAAATTGACAGTCTCCGTGTGTTCACCGGTTTATTATTCAACGGTGGCATCAACCAGGTGGGCTCTGCCAGGGAGAGCACGGATTTAACTTCCTCTTCCCAGCCACGACTGGCCCCCAAGCTAGTTTTTCTTACTAGGCTGTTTGCTACATGAAGAGCAAATTCCCAGAGGTTCCCGAGATTGCCCATATCCTATGCTAAGATGACTGCTCCACCGCCCGCCCACCCACCCACTAATAAGACATAATGCCGTCCTATTTTTGGTAACAATTAAAGGGCCTCCCGGTGAAAGCAGAAAGCTGTTTATTTTCTGTTACATCACTTCGCTTGCCTTCGAAGACTGGTCTGTGCTCAGTGTTTTCTGTGAAGTGAGTCGGCTCTCTTCCTCCAGCAGTTGGCTCGCTCCCATTCACAGAGCACCTCACAGGTCTCTTCCCCCAGCAGTGCGCTGCCTGAGCGAGGAACAGCTCACGAATCAGCTGGAGGTCCCTGTTTTGAAAAGGCAGATACAGAAGCAGAGAAGGGTGGACTCCTATGTGACCTGTTCTTAGAGCAAGACAATCAGCAGCTGAATTCCAGAAGCCCTGTTCATGTGTGGGGATATTTTCTCGACTGCATGGAATCAGAAAGCAGCAGAAGGATGGGAGATGCCCGCATTCCCCTGAAAAGAATTGCCTATTTCCTATGCCTCTTTTCTGTGGTTTTGCTGACTGAGGGGAAGAAACCAGCGAAGCCAAAATGCCCTGCCGTGTGTACTTGTAGCAAAGATAACGCTTTATGTGAGAATGCGAGATCCATTCCACGCACCGTTCCTCCTGATGTTATCTCACTGTAAGGCCCGTAAGCATTTTGATATCTAATTTACAATTTAAAAAAATTCCAGCTGGTGGATTTGGGGGTTTGTATGTATTCTGAGAGGGGCATGGAGCTCGCAAGACAGACTCCTCTTGCATGCTTGACCATTGACAGCACCAACATTTTGCTGTATTTAAAAATTTGTGATTTTGTTAAGCTGCTAGTGAACATGCTTAGCTAGCCCCCACCCTGGACATTATCCTGAGGCACCTGGAGCAGGCTCGTCTCTCTCTCTCTTGCTTCATCTGGGAAGGAGCAGAATCGTACTTGATAAAATAGTGTGGAAATATAGCAACTGTTATGGTAAATCGGATTAACATAAGATCTGTTCTCTGTGTGTGTCTCTTTGTGTGTGTGTCTGTTTGTTTTTGTGTGTGTGTTTTGTTTTCTTTCAGATCCTTTGTGAGATCTGGTTTTACTGAAATCTCAGAAGGGAGTTTCTTATTCACACCATCGCTGCAGCTCTTGTGAGAAACATTTATATCATGTCTATTTTTAATATGGCATGTATTTGGATAAGCCTTCTAGTAAAATGAGCTTAATGTTGTTTCTGTTGAACGTGATGATGCTTCTGAAAGGGGTGAGAAGATCAGCAAAGCGGAGATAGATGGGTTATTTGTAACTTCACATCCACCATGCAGGTTGATTCTTGCATGGGTAAATTCACTAACCTATGATGCTGTCTAGTTTAATGACTGTTTATGAAGTTGTTGGGATGATGCAACAAGAATACTAATTTTGATGACCTTACTTTCATTTTTAACTTGGGGAACTTCGGTTATTTTGCGCTGGAGTTCTTGGGTTTGTCAATACAGAGCCCAGCATCACATATGCACTCAAGATGTTGTCTCTCCGGGATCTGGGACAGACTACTCCTCTGTATGATTTACCATGTGGGGAGAAAGAGGGGGGAAAAGACACTCTTGGTTCTTTCTAGGTAATTTCTTAAAATACTAATTCTCAAGAGCCTGCTTTCTAATCTCCTCTAATTTATAACTAGTCCCCTCACAGCGAGGGAAAGATGATATTAATATAGCAAATACTCCTTGTTCTATGTTTTGAGATGGCCACAAGGGAGCCACATACTCAGACCATGCCTAAAAAATATTCTAAAATAGCACTGGACTACGAAATCAGACCTCTTCACAGGGATAATGAAATATGTATAATTTGTTCTGATGTGTAACGTTTGGCGGCTGGCGTCTAGTTCTTCACGGGTATCACAGGAGACTCATGGGATCTCCCTGTTCCGGCATCAATCTTCGGTTGGCAGATAAACAGTTCAAAACCATACACAGTCAACTGTCAGTAGACTGAATTTGAGGTATCTTAACCGTGTGATTAAGATCCAAGCTTTTAATTTATTTGCTTTCTAGATTCATATTTGCTTCCTGGCCATCCGTGCTTAGCCATTATGTTAAGATTATTTATACGTGGATAAACAGTGTGAATTTGAAATTGAAAAGTCGTGTGTTCCAATCTCACTCCACTAATCTCGTCTCAGTAATCACTGGAATGTTGTTCTGTGGTCTTGTTCAGATCCTCTCTCCTTCAGCTTCCTTACCTACAAGACGGAAATGATAAGACATATATTTGAAGTGTTATGATCAGAGAGAAATAAAATTTAAGTATATAAAAAAAATTATTTTTAAAAGAAAGGGTCTCACGTAGTTCATGCTGACTGGCCTTACCAAGAGCTCTGCTGGCCTTCAGCTGCTGATGTTCCTCCCTTTTCCTCCCCACTGCCAGGATCAAAGGTGTGACCCACTACACACAGCTTTAGGTCAAGCTCAAGATGTGGCAAAGTCTTACCTGTTTTAGGAAGGCTGCCGCTCTAATTCTCTTCATCAAGATAAAATGCTAAAAGTTACTTAATATATTCTGGGGTCTGTCAGAAACCCCACAACTGGCTTGACTGATTGCAGTTACAAACTTGATCAGGTGTTCTGACATTATATAACAAGGCTTGCTACTGCCCTGCCCTGGCTAATGACTTTGGTTGGATGGCAATTAAGTACAAAGTTTCTAAGGGGTTTTTTATCCGTTTGATTAAGGGAAGTGTTAACATGTTAAAGAAAAAAATTAAAACAGGTTTATAATTAAGAGAGGGACAACATCTATAAGTCTGGGATCCTTCTATAGACTGTGCTGATCCTGAGATCAGTTTTGCTTACACTATTTACTGGTCATATAAATGGCTTGTTTAAAATGCACTTTTTTAAAAAAAAAATGTGCTAAGGCACCTGAGATAGTCCAATAGATCACCAGTCCTTAACTTTTCAAGACCTCTCAGTTCCCTAGCACTCACTTGATCTGGCACTAGGTGGACATTAGCTGGACACTGGACACTGGACACTGGAAACCTGGACTGCGCTTTCTTTTTGTTGGGTGGACCCAGCCACCCTGAGCACAGATGCTGGGCAATGTCATAGAAATAGTTACCGGCTGCTGCAGGGCAATGTGATTTCACGTATTTAGAATCACAGAGGGAAGCCAAGGGCCTGGTTTTAAATAGCCCACACTGAGTGTGTGCCATGCCTCTCGGTCCCATGCTCTGAGTGCCTATGGAACATTCCAGCCCTTATTTCTAAAAGCAGTTCAGGTTTCAGAAGTTAACAAAGGAGCCAGTGATTCTGTCCTGTATGTCCTTCATGACCTCATGTTAGCTGACTTCAGCAGAGTAGATTTGGCCATACTGATTTTATGCAAAACCATCAAAAATCAAAGTTTGTCCATAGGCTCCAGGACCGTGTTTTTAAGGACTTTGTTTCCCATGCAACCTGCCCATTGTTCTCTGCTTCTTCATATGCTTAGGAAAAAGCCAAATGAAAGCATTTTCACAAAGTAAGAAAATCAATGGCACTGGCATACTGTGACTGCAGATAGAAAGTGTTCTGTGGTCAGTACTGCTCCATATCCCAAGAGACCTACCTGCTACCAACCTGCCATTGGAACAGGAAGACCAAGGTGCCACTAGCATTGTGTGGAGTTGTCAATCAATTCTAGGCCATGAATCTATAGGTCTATTATGTATCTGTGAAGAGAACAACTTTAGGATCAATACTGCTTGATCTTTGTTGAAGGCAATTGGCTTCTTTGTTTTGGTAGAATAAGAAATGTCTGATCCCAGTCAGGTGTGGTAGTGTGCCCCTACAATCATAGTGTTACTTGAGAGGACTGAAACAGAAGGATCTATAGTTTGAAGCCAGCCTGGATTAAAAGAAAAAGGAGGGGTCTGTGATTCGGTGTTCCATTCCTGTCACCCACTGTTACAATCTGATATTACGGCCATGGTCCCAGGTGCTTCCTCAGACCATCCCTAAGCTAAGAGGGATGATGAAGACTGTGGCTGGCTGTGTGGCAGACTATTCTGGAGAACAGGAAAAATAAAATCAGCGCTCTACTAGAGAAAAGAGAAAAATTAAGCCGATCCAATAAAAAGCGATCGGATCAGCTGTACCAAACATTCCCTTTGTGGGAATAAAAAGAGAAGTTCCCAAGCAAATGTTGTTGGTCTCCATGTTTTTCACGGGGCCAATTTGAAACATAACCAATGAGCATGATTATGTATTCCTACCTGCTTTCTGTGCTGGAGTGGGACTTTCAGTGAACGCAATTTGGAGAAATGTGTTTTCACACATTACGGCCCTGTTCCTTCCCAACTACAGACTGGAATCCCCAGTGATTCAGGCTCATGATGGGAGACTCAGATTTAAGGGAATAAATCACATGGCCACTTGTTTATGACATTTTAATGAATTAAGGCTCTTCGACTCCTAAGACACTCCTATTTGCTGGCAGTGAATCTCAGAAGTAGTTCTTAGTATGTCTCTCAAATGCATAACAAAAAAACTGTACAAATTCAGTGAGACCAGAAAAAAATACATCCATTTTTTTTTAAATGAGATTTGATCTTGGGTGAAACATGGAATTTACTTTTGATATAGGGAAAATGGCATTTAACAAAATTAATGCACAGCTGACACATAAATATATAGTCCACAAGGAATCCAAAAACTCAAAATAAATAGAAAAACAAATAGTGCGCATAAGAAATAAGCTCATCTGTACCAACGAACTTCATTAGGACCTTTGCTGTCTCATTTGTTCAGAGACATATCCACAGCAGATCTTGCCCTTTAAAACCGCTGGGTTCCTTACTGTAATAGGAACAAAATGTGGCAATGTTCAACAATTACTCAAGCTAGACCAGTCCGCTTCAAGGGTGTGAGGACACTTTCTTAACTGGTTATATGTTGATGAATACGTCTTGGCTTATGCCTAGCAGATGCTCTATGAAGCTCCCTGCCCCCCAAATTTCCCTTTTCCCCTAAAGTCTATAGGTCTGTAAGGTCTGAATTTTTTTTTTTTTTGAGACAGTGTCTTACATACTCCAGCTTCTTTAATCTAGCCAGAAGAGTCTTGAACTTCTAATGCTCCTGTCTTCAATTCCCAAATGCTGGAATTAAAGGTGTGCACCCCTACACCAGACCCCCACACCCTGTTATGTGCTGCTGGGGATCAAACAGAGGGGTTCGTGCATACTTTGAGAGCATTCTGCCAACTAAACTTTACGGCCAGCCCAATTACACAGAGCCTTATATCTGTGTAAATTACCTTTGGATGAGCAGTGCTTTCACTGAAAGCATGTTTTATTCTTCCAGTTATCTGGGCCAGAAGCCCAATGGTGAGTGACCAGCCTCTCCTCCCAGGATTCATCTTCCCAGCAACCTGAGAATCTGACTCTTCCTCTTCACCCAGACCTGTTCCTGCCTGAGGGACTTTCAGGCTTCTGCAGCATATCTCCGGTCACCCGCCACCTTGCCCCACCCCCGAGGTTTCAGTTAGAAGCCTCAGCATTAATTGTCACCTTCTTTGAAACAATAACTGTCACGGTGCCACCCAAGTGCTTGGAAGCTCTTAATGGTTCCTAGGAAGGGAGAGAAAGTCAGAAGACCAGAGCTGGTGTTAATAGCACTTGGCTTTTTCCTGTTTATCCTAGACTATCAATCACAACACTAACTCTAGCCTCTCACAGCCTGTATACACCAAGGACATCCATGTCTTATTTATGCTTATATCTGGTCCATGTCTGACATGCAGGGTCAGAAGTGAGCCGTGGCCTAGGGAAGAGCTTTGGGACAATAAAAGAGTCGTAGAGTACTGGAAAATGATAAGTCATCAGAAAGTGACCTACCCCCACCCCAATCCACACACTACAAATGCAAAGAGATATTCTAAGTTTTCTGAAAAAGATTGCCAGCACTTAGAAGGGACACAGCTAACCCTATCTGACACCCACTTTATCTTTAGCCCCCCCTTTTCCCACTCTTGTTTCACATTTAGCTTCCTGGGTTCTTAGTTTGACTCTGTTCTATGAAGGGTAAACAGTTTGTTTATCCTGTCCTGAGGGACGCCCAAATAGGTAGAGAAGCATTAAGATAAGAAAAGCATAAACGCTTCATTC